GTTTCAATGAAACATTAGGTAATGAATGATGATTTGTTTGTGTTGATAAATCTGATGAATTAAATTTATTATGATGATTATAATTTATATCTGAATCTGATTGATTAGGAAATAGACCAAATGATGAACTCATATGAGATTTAAGTGTTGGTGATGATTGAATATTATCTTGATCAACTTTACGTATTGAAGTTAATTTTACAAATGGTTCATTAGATAATGCAACTACAGGATTAGTATTTTTGAATGTATGATTTCGAAATAATGAAAAATTTTTAGCAGATTGATGACGAGTTAGTATTGAACTTGTATTATTTAAATTATTATTACTTAGTGATGCTTTTGTTTGTTGTGATTGTTGTTGTTTTTGAGATTTTATATGTGATGTTGATGGACTATTTGGAACAGAATTAGATGTTGTTTCATTTAATTTTCCACCAACACTATGACTGAGATTGGAACGAAGTTTACCTAAGAGAAAAAAAATAAATATAAAAAAAAAACTCTTATTGACACTTTTGTTGTTTTAAAAGAAAATACATCATATAGAATTATTTGCTAAAGACATCGTTAAATGCTTTTATTTTATAAATGAAAGATAGTTTTGTAGATATTTCAAATAGTTATTCAATTAAAGCTATATGTAAATGTAAGATGGAATATCTGTGCTAGTGATTGAACTTCATTAGGAACGTACGAATATAAATAAAAGACCTGAATTAATCTTGTTCTAAATATTGTTGAGAAAATAAATCATTTAATATTCGAAAGTATATTTACAAAAAACTAATTACAATCTATTTACAATAGTTATACTTTCTGGAAGATCTTTTTTTTTCAAATACACGTTACCATCAGATGTTTTATTCTCATGCTATTACGAAAAGATATAATGAGAATATTTGCAATAGTGACTCTGGATAATGAATACAGTCTCTGAGACTGGTAAAATCAGTACTGTACACTGTTGTTTCATAGAGTTTATGATCAATCATAAACAGTTTTCAATTGTTGCTCTGTAGGTGCAGTTCTATTCGAAAACAATAATATCGTAAATGCTATAAAACATCGACAACTGGCACTATGATCCGTTGTACTAGAAAACAGAACCCATAGTGATGAAAACGATGGTCGTTTTCTAGCGGAAAAGTGGCTAGTAAAATGGTATGCCGAATTACGGAGAAAACTTAATGCATGATTTTGCCAGTTCAGGTAGTTCATGACGTCATTCACAACGGTCGGAATCAGAGATGAGCAAAATCGCACCGCGCCTCCCCGCACCACTGCTCGCGCCTAGGCGCTACGCACATCTCTCTTTCTCTTTGCTCTACTAATCAGTTTCTCAAACTCCACCGAATACCGGAATGCTCTAAGCATGCGCTCATCAAAGCTCAGACTAGTGTAGCGTAGGCGTGAGCAACGGCGCGGGGAAGCGCTGGGAGGCGCGGTGCGACTTTGCTCATCTCTGGTCGGAATGATCAACTTAAGGCATATAGTTGATAGTCGTCGATTTAAAGCTCGTCTACTCGATTTTATGACCGTTATCAACTATATACGGTACGATCGTAATACTGCGACCATCAAACGACGAAAACGAAACGACTAAAGCTACAGTTTACAAGTTATGTTTATTTGAACCGGGCAAAATTTAAGAATAACAAAAAGCTAATATGATAAGTCGTATATCTTAAATAAATATTTCTTATAATATAACTCATAAAGAAAATAAAAACATCTATCATTAAATATATTCTTACTAAGATTTTGATCTGTTTGTAAAATAGATTTTTCATTATTGGTTTTTGAATTTAACGATGATAAAATTGATGTTGTTGATTGTTGTTCCGTAGGTGAATAAATTTCTTCAATAAGAATTGGTAAAGTATCTGGTATACCATCAAGTTCAATACATTCAATTGGTAAATGTGGTAAACGTGAATAATATAAAGAATTTCGAACAATATCATGTAATTCATTATATATATCACTTCTGAAACAATAGAAGAAAAAAAAAATATTTTTATTTCGATAAAATAAAATAATTTCAAATATTCATACTCATTTATAAGAAGATTAATTCGTGATGTTTCCCGAAGAAAGAAACATTCTGAAAGACGTTTTACCTATATATATATATATAAGAATGTTATTGCATAAGATTATTGCGAAATGACGAAAAAGAAAAATGACTTTTTGCTTTTTTTCTTACTCGTTTAAAATGATAGTCTTTCGCAAGTACAGTTGCTGTTATTTCATGTAAACCAAATGTTTCAATAAATTGACACCAAAGCATAATATTTTCAGCTGAACATTGAGCAATATGTGCATGTGCTAAATTATCTATTGAATGAATATCATCTACAGCCTTGTAATTAAAAAAAACAAAAAAAAAAGTTAGTTTGTTATGAACTTCTTTTTTTTTTCTTCTTTATAATTAATATATTGATAAATACTTTTAATTTTTGAAGAAGTTCTTTTAATCGTTGACGACAATTTTGATGATCTATGATGGAGAAAAAAAAAACGTTTTTTTTTTTTAAGAGAAAGAAAAATATAAATGTACGATGTATTGGTTTCTGTTCATTTGCTGGTAAATGTTGAATCATTTTTTCATAAAAATCTTGTAAAGATTCATAAACTGATAGAAGTATTTCACATATATTATTATGTAAATGATAAGCTCGTTCAAGTAAACTTGGATTTATTTGATCAGTTGTAATCTAAAGAATATAAATATACATATATCGAGAGAGATATTTAAAATAATATACTTGTGATAAATCTTGACCAAATAGAAAACTAAATAATGATGTTCGACGTACATTTGGTCTATGATTTTAAAATACAAAAAAAAATTTTAAAAAAAATAAATAATTCTTTTATACCGATCAAATACATAAGGTGGAATAAGACAAAGTAATGAAGCATGAATAGTTGTTGTTATTGCAGATAAATGAAAATAATCGAAAAGTATAGGAACATGAGTATGAGTTCCTGAACGAGGATTACAATGAAGTTTATAACATCGACTACATAATGATTGCATTGTTCCGATTTTTTCTGGTCTAAATATATATTTTATTTTAGTGTTATTATCAAATAGCAATTTTTTTTAAATATCTAGATAAAAAAAAAATTTTAGCTAATTGTTTCACTATGTTATAAATAAAATTGATGATTAATAAAGAGAAAAGTTCCATTTCAACTCAAGATTTTATATGATAAAACAGAAATCTCAAGAAATTATCCGATGGAGATAGATTAATTTTATAATCGAATATAGTGTAAAAATAATATTGAAATTATTGATACTTAAAAAGTAGTATTAAGAATAATAATGAAATATGAATAGATTTTAATATAGTTTTAAGCTCGTTTAACTTCATATATAAATGATCTACTAAGATTTTTCTTTTGTTTATGTATTGAAAAAAAATTAAAATGAATTGATTTTCTATTTTAGAAAACTTCACACTGACTTAATCGACAAAATATTCTTTACTAACAGTTTATAACCAGCATTCATAGAAAAACTAATCTATAGCTTATTAAAATACATACGAATAATCTTTTTCCATAAAAAAAAGTTCAATACAAAGTTGCATATCCATTCGATTAAAACAATCTGTAATCTAAATATCAAAAAAAAAAACATAATCAAAATTTCAAAAAAAAAAGATATTTTTTTTTTCTGCATACATGTTGAGCATCAACAATAACTGAAAGTTTAAAATTAAATTGATCATCAAGTTCAATTTCTTCATTTTTATATATAATTAAAAATGTTTTACTAACACCACAATCATTATAAATACAAGCAGGATAAATTTGTTCATATGAATCATCTAAATAAAAGAAAATAAAAATAAAATTCTTATCTATTATTAATTTCAATACCAATTGGAAAAGGAAATTCAGATTTAATTTCAATTTTAGTTGTTGATTGAATTTTTGGTGCAAGTTTTATTCCTGCACGAATTTGATAATAACTAAAAAAAAAAAAAACAAGATTTTTGTTTTTTTATTATTTAAAAATAAAATAAATTACCCTTGAACAAATAAATCAATATTAAAAAATTTTCTTAATTCAACTATTAATTCAATTTCGGCCTGTAAATCGGCCATTATATTCTAAATCTAAAGATAATTGATTATAATAAAATTCTAATCGAAAAAATATTTTACCTTTAATTATAAATAAATAAATATTTTAAATTTCATTATAAAATTTTTACAATAAAATTATATTTAATAGTTTATCTATAGATAATAACAAAAAAAATTAAAGAAATAATAATGACACAATAGAATAAAAATGTTCTCGAAAATAAAAATCGTAGAAGTTACATTCACTCCAAATAATATTAATTTATCCTATTGAATGATTTATTAATATAGTTCTCTAAGAAAGATTTCTAAAAAAAAAATAATTTTTTTAATTTTTAATTTTTATTAAAACTTAAATTAATATTAATAAAAAAATAAAAAATAAAATATGTTTTTTTTTTTCGAGCGACATTTTATAGTCTTATCAATCATGATTGGTGTTACTAATGACGAACAGATATTCTATGGATCAATGCTTACTTTTGTTGGTTGGAGACAACAACAGCATAAAAGCAAGAAAACGCGCATAGATATTCATCGTGGGAGACGAAAAAAAAAAAAAAAAAGAGAAAGAAACTAATCAAACGAAAATAATTTCATACTTTTGGATTAATAACGAGAAAACATTTCTTTTCATACCAATCATCTTTTTTTTTTTCTTCTCGTTTTTTTTTTTTTTGATGAATATCAAAAACAAGAAATTAATATTATTTGATGAATCATTATTCATATTTCTTTTTTTTTGTTGTTGTTTTTTCTTTTAAGTTATTTTATTCATTTCAATAAAGATAACTCGATTAATTATTCTGGCATTATTGGAGTGATTTATATCATCTAGACGAATTATCTTCTACCTTTTGTTTTTGTGTATCTTATTTGACTTATTATTAAACATGGTAACTGTGATAGCAGATAAAGAAGAATTACCCACACCTGTTAATAATGGTGTTACTACTGGTTCACATGATAATGAACAAGCATTTCAATATATTAAAGATTATCAAGAAGTAATATTGCTATAGATTGAAATAAGACAAAAACTCACTTTTTAATTCATTTAAGGTTGATTTTCATCGATCAATATCATGTAAACCTTTACCTGAAGATTTAGTTGGGTTAACCGATGGTCAAATAACAAAATCTTCAGTACGTGAATATTAAGATGCTTATAAAAAAAGAATTTTAATCAAAAATGATATTCTTTAAGATAATATTTCATAGAAAATGCGTAGTAACATTACAACTAGTTTTTACTATCGGAAAAAAGTGTTTTACTTTTGAATATGATATCGTATTGAAAGAAATACAAAGGAGCTTCATGATAGGGAATATCTTCTTAAGAAATATCATGAAAAATTAGTATTATAAGAGCCAGTTAGACACTTTGATTTTAAAATGTCATTTTCGATTTTTCAGTATAAAAAATTAAGATAATTGATATGACATACAATTTTGTAAGGTTACACGGTACAGGTTAAGGGCATAAATTTGAAAGTGTATATGCAGATCTACTGTCATGTAGATATCAATAGGAAGATTGAATTTCTTAAATATAAATTTTTATAAGCTATTATTCAAATAAAAATTTCTTGATTATTCTTTTTGACTTTAATTGTAAGAGAAAAAAAGATAATTGTATTTCTATTATTAACTTTTTTTTTTTCTTTTTTGTTTTAATTATTTAAAAAATTTTATTTTAAATAGATCAAAGGCACATTTTTTGTGCAAATCGATTCTATTGACTCAATAACAACATTCAATAATAATAAAAATCAATTAGAACAAACAGATGATAATAATTCTTTATTATTAACTATAACTGATGGCATTACAACTGTAAAAGGTATTACAAATGATTATATTCCTAACTTAAGGTATATAAAATGATTTCAAAGAAAATAAATTTTTTGCTTTTTATTTAATTATTTTAGTTTCAATATAAGACCCGGTTGTAAATTATTATTAACCGGTATAATTTCAATTAAAGATGGTTTATTACAATTAACACATGACAATACACGTTTTCAACATGGCAGTAATACATATTCTCGACCACGATCTGCTTACCGAGTAAATAATTTTTTACAAAGAAAAGATAAAGATATTATTACATAGAATAAAAAAACAAATGATATAATATGTATATATATACTATATACCGATAGACTCTTTTTCTTTTCTTGTCATCGAGACATAAATTGAAAAGGATGATATTTGAATTTATAAGTCAAAAGACATAACATTCTATTTTATTGTTTCAGGGACGTGGAGGTGGATCTCATCGACCTTCATATGAAGGGCGACGTAAGTCTTCTATTTTATTCTTCCATATCTTATGTATACATTTTTGTTGAAAGGTGGTGGGACTGGTAATAGTAATAATCGATATGATAACAACGATAATACATCGAATTTTCTTAAAGGACCACCACCAAAAAATACTTTAATGGATTTTATGACTTCAGTTAAAATTTCAAATGATTTTAAACAAACAATTGATAATGATAATCAAAAATTAAAAGATCGACATGAAAATAAACGTCGAAATACTGATCAATATTATAAAACAATAAATAATATTAATACAACGAATAATTCAAATCAACATTATCAATCAAATAATAATAATTATTATTATACAGATCAAATAATATTTCAACAAGAAGGAATTCACGATCAATTAGATACGGAAGATGATTCATCTCATGCAAATTATCGTGAAAGAAGAAATCCTTTACCCCCTAGGTTTGTATCTATTTATAGAAAACATCAAGAAAGAAAAATATTAGTGTTGATATATAAGAATATTAATAATTACTGTAAAGAAAAAAAGAAAAAAAGAAGATTTTCCATATAAAATATCGTACTTATGACCTCGACGAAAAAAAGATTTTATTGAAATAAGTTAAACACAAAAGATATTTCTCTATAGACTAATAATAAAAAAAAAATAGAAATGTTTATTGCTGGTACTAGAATATATCCAAAAAAAAAATTCGACATGACATAAATATCTAGAGAATAATAACAAACAATCATCTCTGATTTTCATATTAGAAACAACGATTTTTATAAAAAATAATGATAAATACATTCAAAACAACAAGATTATCTATCGATAAATCGAGCAAATACTTAATGTAGTTTTATCACTAATGATAACCATCTTAGCTGTATTAATGAATGTAAATCTTAAATGTATACCAGATTAAAAAGAAATCGTGAGAACAATCTATGATAGTTAGAGATATTTGTGTATCTGGATAACATTCTTCTTGATCATGTTCTATAACAAATTAACAAGAGCATCTATGCGACTGATAATCTGCTTTGTAATTCACAAAAAGAACTCATTGTTTAGATAAAAATCTTGAGATGGTTTGTACCATTAAGCCTTTCTTTGCTGATTTCTGACCATTTTACTGAATTTTCAGCCTATTGCTGAAAGCACGAGAAAAACCATAACAAACAGTTTGAATCTCAAAATTCTCCTTAACAATAAATCTTATGGTCCTTATGATATTCTGAAGGTTTCAGCACAAATGAATGTTTCCCTAATGAGATAACATGCATTATTTTTTACACAGAAGCTCTAAAAACAGTCCATTTTGTCTGCATACGATATCTGAAGAAGAAATTATCCGTTTGATCTGAAACTTTCAGGATATGATAAGAGTCAGGAGAGCTATTGTCAAGAAGAATATTAGACTCAAACTGCTTGTTATGATTTTTCTCGTGATATTCTGCAATAGACTAAGAATTCAGTAAAATGACCATAGATCAAGAAAAAGATGGCATGAACATTTTCAGGATTTTTATCTATACAATGATTTTTATTTTTGAGCTGTAACAGAGATTGTCAAACGAACGGATTGTCTTGTAAGCTATGAAACTCAAGCTTTCTGTGAAATAATAATTATGAAAGAAGATTAAATTTATTATATATGTGTTTGAGCCTCTTTTGAAAATTACTGAAGCGTATGCTTTCATTGCAGACATAGCAGTATGTTGAAATTCATAAACGGAATTCTATATTGCAGAATTCTTTGATTTACAAAGAATACTGATCCATTGTATTGTCTAATTGAATTCTGTAGAATTTGTGCTAACAACTTTTATTCAAAGCTTTTGCTATAAATTACATATTGTCATTCTCGAATTATTCATGTGAAAAATATTTTTCTTTAATTATAACATCTACATTAGTAAAATTTACTAATGAAAAGACTGGAAAAATTTTTTTTCTTTAAAAAACAAAAATCAAATATATAATTTTACTAAAATTCATAGAAATACTTATCAAATTTTATAATCAAAAGTATCGTTTTATTTTCTTCGTAATGTTTATAAAATTAAGAATTAATAATTCGAATAGATTTATTTATTTTTATTCAATTATTTATATTAGACTTCAACGTGCTCAAGAAGAACGTACTCGTCGAAGTACAAATCGTTATTTGGATGAATCAACATCATTAACTGAAAATGAAATCAATGGAAATTATCGTAATGGTACCACAAATAATAATACATTGTCTTCCTCATCATCATATACACGACATGGAGATCCTATGTCCTATATTCCTCATAATTTATCTAATGGTCAACCACATGCAACTACTCTTAATTCATATCCACCACATGGGAATATACTTGCTCCTGCGATTGGTTCAACACCAACTCATCTTGCTTATTTTCCAACTAATTCGGTATTGAAATATAAAGAGAACAAAAAAAAAACAAAAAACTTTAAATCCTTATTTTTATACTTGAATTTTTGTTTTAAATTAGGGTCATTTAACATACAGTCTTGCTGGTATTCCAAGTCCAACATTTCATAGTCAACAACCATCAATGGGTCCGGGATATACAAATGAACATTTAACATTTTGTTATAGAACTCCATTTGTAACTGCAACTTATCTTCCATCAACAACTACTAATGATATACATGATGATTCAAAAACTAATTATAATAATAATAATAATAATTCAACTGTTTTACAAACAGATTCATATGTTGATGAAAATGAAATAAAACCAACAAATGAATCACAACAAGATGAAAATAATGAGAATAAATCTCAATCTTCATTAATCGAACAGAAAACAACTTCATCATCATCATCATCATCATCATCGTCATCAGCATCATCAAATGATGGAAATAATAGTTCTCAACAAGTTATTGTCGAACAAGATGAGGATAAACGTCGAGATATAAATTCAGTATGATGAAAAAAAAAAAAATTTGTTCTTTTTTTTTTTTAAATGGAACTTTATTATTTTCTTTTGTTATAGAATTCACAAATACGTTGGAAAATAGGTGATATTTGTTTAGCACGATGGAGTGAAGATCAAGAAGTATATTTTTTGAAAATTATAAATATAAAAAAATTTTGATTTTTGTTTTTTGTTTATTTTCTAATAGTATTATGTGGCTACTATTGTTCATATTCAACCTCCTTATTGCACTGTTTTATTTCGTGATTATAATAATTACGATAAATTACATTTTAGTGAATTAAAAATATTACCGCGTGACCAACAATATGTAAGTTTGACAGTTTAATTCTTTATCTATAGATTTAAGAAAAGATTATAAAAGAAAATGGGAAAAAGATTTACTGCTTACTAAAATAAAATTCTTCATAGTCCTTTCGTTCATGATGGTTTAATTATCATACAATGAGCATCATTTCATATGATAACGACACTCAGATTTTATTTAAAATATTAAAACTGATGAATATTTTTAAAGTGTATTAAAACTGACAGATTTGAGAATACTATCTGCAATTGTTTATAGCTAGAATTGAAAATCGTAAGTGTTACCAGTAGTTTTTATGAATACTAGCGATGCTGCAAACAAACGCGTCTTATAGAGTGTGTCTGACCTGAAAAGAAAAGTCAAAGTGATACTTATGAAATGAATATTATCCGCTCCATTGATAAAAAAAAAACATTTTGCCTCATTAGTCATCTATAGAAATGTATTATGAATGAAGAAATAACATTTAACTTACAATATAGAATTTCAACAAAATATAAAATTCGAAAAAATTTAGTGCAAAATTCTACTTAAATAAGAATTGTTTTTTTTTTTTTGAATATTTCAAAATAAAAAGTATAAAACAAATAATTAATAATGTTCTTTTCATTTATAGTATCAATATGTTCCACAAATAGCTGCAACATCACATGATTTAAATGTTCTTACAACTAATGTTTGTTTTCCTCCACGTACAAATTACTATCCTTCAACAATTGATGAATGTATAATAATGCCAGAAGCTCCACCTTTTCCATTTAATTCAGCTGGTACATTATATATGTGTCCACCAACATTAACATCTATTTCACGTTCAAATAATCGTTATAATACAAATGGTTTATCATCATTTCAACAGACAAATAAATATCTTGAAAATGAAAATATTCATGATACTAATCATATTAATAATGATACAACAATAAATTCTTCATCAACACTAAGTAAAGATTCAAATGATACAAGTATAATTGATTCAACAACAATATCAATTGATGATAATCAACAATTACAAGCACAACAACAAGATATATCATTATCAACAGAAGGAATTCAAAGATGTTCTATTGATGATGAATCTATAACCATAGTTACAAAAGATAATGAACGTGAACGTAGTACAAGTACAGAAAGTTTAACAAGTAGTAAATATGACGAACAAAATTTGACAAATGAAGAAGTAAAACAAGAAAATAATTCTGTGGTTAATGTTAATTAAATCTGCATATATATATAAATAAATATCAAAAAAGAGTGAGAGTGAGAGAGAGAGAGAGAAAGGAAGAGAGAAATAAAAAGCATAAGCAATTAATTGTTAACATTCGGATAGTAATATTGTATCGCATACGCAAAAGTTTACAGTGAGGATCTTATATCTTATTCTTGTTCTATTTTTTATTTGATTATTTCTTTCGATACGAAAACCAAACAACTACTTTTTTTTCTCTGTTAATACTTATTCATTGTTTTTTTTTTCGCTTGAATGTGTCCGCTGTTTTCTCTCTCCGTTTCTCTCTCTCTCTCTCTATGTTTCTCTTTCGTATAGTATTCACCTTATTTGTTATTTGTTTCTGTTGCTAAGGCACTCATAGGTTTGTGCTTATTTATTTACTCTCTGTAAATGCTTCCCTTGTCCTTTCGTGTTTTTTTGTCATTTAATTGAACCTAACATATATGAATAGGGAGCTTATCAAGCATTCATTCATTCATTCATTCATTCATTCATTTATTCATTCATTTATCTAACCTTGATTTGTAAACAAAGAAAACAGAAAGAAACGAGTCTTTGTCTTCTGTGAATTCTCTTTTCATTATTTAAAAGAAAGTCCACGCACATACACATAACGCTTTTTTTATTTCTGCTGTTCGATTGTTTATTTGTTGTTATTGTTTTATTTTCTTTTTCTGGTGACGATACCATGATGCTCGCTCTCTTGTATCGCATGTGTGATTCTATGTTTGTTTTCTTCGTGTGTGTGTGTTTGTATTCTCACATTATTATTTCTGTTACTATTATTATATCTCGAGCGTATGCATGTTTTTCTCTGTCAGTCTCTCTCTCTCTCTCTGTCTCTCTCTTTTTTTTTGTTTCGTTTCATTTTTTTTTATTATTATCATCATTATTGAAAACAAAAAAAAAAAAACTGAAACTGGTTTTTAAACAAGAACATGAAAAAAAAAAAACAAAGTCAAACATATGGATGTATCTCTTATTCTCTTTGGTCTTTTTAGTTTTTTTTTTGTTTTTGTTTTTATAATTATTTTATAGACAATGACAGATGAAAATACAATTGAATTTCAGTCAGCATCATCAGAAATTCATAATGATAATAATAGTTCATTTATATTGAATCAAACTAATGTTCCAATGGATATTGATGTTGATAATGAAATAATAAAATCAGATTCAACAAAAATCAATGGAGATATATCACCAATATTACATACAATTGAGAATGAAAATAATAATGAACAAAATAATGAGGATATTTTACGTCCAGGGTAAACAAAACAAAAAAAAAAAATTCATTAAATGTTCAAACAATAAGAGATTTGATTTAAGTTATTTTTCTAGAAATACGGAATTAAATAAATCATTTGATATTTTACCACAAACTAAAGATGATGATATTTCTGCCGCTGATTCAATATCAGATAATAGTGTAAGTGATTTTTTTTTTGTTTTTTAAATCTTATGAAAGAAAAATCTCCTTGAATGAGTATTAAAAATGAATATGTAATTAATGTTTTATTTGTTTTTTGATTAGGCTCCAAATAACAATATACTCGATACAACAGTTGAATTATCAGTTCATAATGATGAATATAATGAAAAACGTGATGGTAAAATTTTATTTTCTTATTTTGCAATTTGGCTTTTTTTTTTTTTTCTTAAAATAATTTAATTCATATATATATAGATGATTTGAATTCGATTATAAAAGTTAATGATATCGAAACACCTACGAGTGCTAAATCACTTTTAACAAATCAATTTTCTCGTATGTATAAAAAAAAACGAACAAAAGACAAAGAAATTTCTTTTTTATTTATCGATTAATTTTTTGTAGTTGAATATCCATATGAAATACCACAACCACAAGAAAATGTTCAACCTTCATCACCAATTCCAATTGAAACGGTAACGACATTAACAAAAAATATGAAATTGGATATTAATAAGACATTAGAAGAACAAGGTATTCTATTAAAAAAAAATTTATGATCTCATTGAACAAGCTTTATATTTCTTTCTTTTTCTTTTGTTCTAAGAACCTTCAATACTAAAATCTTCTACCGATAAAACATACGATACAAATACATTTGTTTTAAAGAAGAGAGAACGACGAAAAATATCAACACTGGGTACTGAAAATACTTTCAATAAAGTATGTCATAGAAGATTCATGAAAAAATAAAAATGAAATAATATTTTTTATAGACTGTCGAAGATTCTCCACCAGATTTATCTAGTAAAAAATCACCGTCAAATACTCCGTCCGTATCACAGGGTGCTACTATAACTTCGCGATCAACTACAACAACTTTATCTTCACAACAACCCCTCATGGATCCCACGCGAATCATGTAAGAGTCATAGGGTTGCCTATTGTTGCTTTCGTCCTCGTATTTTTTTTTTTTTTTTACCAATCGATGAGTCCTCGAGGGAAGAAAAAAACAACAAAGTTTTTTTTTTTTTTTCCTGTTCTTAATGTCTATACGTTGGCACATTATTATTGCTTACGATAGGAGCCCTCCATATTTTTTTTTCTCCACTCACAATACACCATGTCGACATCGTCTGATATTGATGATGATCTTATAAGTTTACGTCAAAGATTATCTTTATTACCGAGTGTTTCATCAACAGCATCATCTTCATTTCATGAAGATGAACAATATCGAGCAAAAGATATTAATACACGTTCATTAGCGGATTTTATGAATGTTGAACAAACAATTTTTCAACCAACAACTGGAACTGATATGATTAAAAGTCTTATTATGTCAAATGATAATCCAATGGAAAAATCTTCATTATTTCGTTCATTAATTGAACATACAGAACCAAAAATTAATGCTCAAGAATTAACAGAACATTTTTCTTTAAAAAAACATGATGAAAAAACTTCTAAAAATAATCAAATTGATGAACATCTTTTACGTCCATTTAGTGAATGTGTTGAACAATATTATCGAATACTTTATCGTGTATGTGAATGTACAGAAGAATTAAAACAAGAATTACGACATGTTAAAAGTGAACGTGATCAAATGAGTGAAGATTTAATTAATGCTGAAAATGCATATGCTGATGTTAAAAAACGAAATGAAAAACTTAAATTAATTATCAATGAACATAAAACGGTTTGTAAAAGAAACGAAATTGATAATTTGAATTTGCAAAAACAAAAAAAATAATTTTTAGAATACAGAAACATTAAAACGTTTTTCAGAAGAATCTGTTCGTTATACAGAAGAACAAAAACAAAAATATGCAGTACTTAAACAACATGCACAAGAAAAATTAAATGAGTATGTATATACATATATTTATTAAAACAAGAATAAATTATTTTATCGTTCTTGAAATTTATTTTTAGAGCTAATAGTGAAATCGAACGATTAAGACGAACACATACAACAGAAATCGAAGGAGTACAAACACAATTACGTTATACACAATTACGTGTACAATCACTTGAACAAGAATTAAAATCTGTTAAACAAGAATTAGAACAAAAGGTAAAAATAAAAGTTTTCTATGTAAAGAAAAATATGAAGTTTTTTTTTTTGTTTGTTTAGAAAAAAGAAAATATTGAATTGACAAATATTTGTGATGAACTCTTAGCAACTAATAAAAGATAGTTAATTTCACAGAACGATTAACAATATATATGCTAGCATTCCAAAACTTAAATAACTTTCAATCTAGAATTTGAAATTGAACATATTTAATATCGGATTGATAGAAAAAAAAAATTATGTTAAAAGTTAAATTTGTTTATCGATTGATATCGAATGTGAAATCTTATTGTTTTTTTTCTTATGAAGCAAGAATATTTCAAGTAATACAATCATCCATAAATAAAGATTCGAAAAGTTATTTCGGATTGAAATTATTCTTGTGTATCAAACTTACTTAATCAATTGATGATTCTATTACTTGAAATATTATTGTTTCATTGAAACGAAACAATTCGAATTCATATCCGATGTTGATCTTTAGACTAATTTGAGTTTTAACATAAATTTTTCACTCCATTCGACAATAATCTCTATTTGGATACTAACATATATTCATATGTATTTCATACTCTATTAAACACTCCATTTCGATTTATAATTATTTTTTTCTGTCTTATAATTTCTTGTTCTCATTTTCTACTAGTCTTATTTTTTTTTTCTCGGTGTGTTTACTATGTAAAACTAAACAAAAGCGGATAATACTTATGTTTGTAGATATATATATATATATCTAATGCATACATTTCTAAATCGATTGAATACTCTATTTGCTTTTACACTGACTGTTCTTGCTGTGCTTACAGTTGGTGTATTTCTTTCAACTTATTTTGAACAATATCATGGAACTCTTAAAATTCATGTAAATAAGCCTATTGTGTAAGTAAAAGACTGATTTATTTTTGATTATAAATATGTATTGCTTTTATTTTTTCTTAAATATAGAAAACATATGACTGATTTTTCAGCAAATCGAAAAAAACAAGATTTAGGTATATTACAACTTGATTTAGATATGAGTAAGTTATTTATTCCATAAAATAAAAATTGAATTATGCTATGAAAAATTTTTAGATCTTAATTCATTATTTGATTGGAATGTGAAAGAATTATTTCTTTATTTAATTGCAGAATATATTACACCAACTAATGTAAGTAAACATTTAATTTTTGAATTAAAAAAAAAAAGAAATTATTTAAATTAGAGTTGTACTACAGATAGAATCAAACGAAAATTTTTGTCATATTTATTGCACAATAGAATAAGACATCTTTATAATAAAATATATAAACTGTTGATTATACGTTTATGAATGATCTATTGAATGAAATCGAATAAAACATTGTCGATATTGAAATGAAAGTAGAATAACATAGACGAATGAAAATAATGTTTATAAGTCTTATGGGAAATAAAATTGTGCTAACTCGATTAATATCTGAGGTTAGAAATTAACATATGTAAACCAAAGAATCGATCCATTACTAATTTTTTAATAAATTCAACAAAAAAAAAATACTAGAATAATGAATGAAAACAAGAATCTTGTCTGTCTTGCTGTACAAGGCAAATTAGAATAGCACGAAATGCAAAACAGAATCCCAATACTCACTTATGATATCAGTAAAAAAAATAAATCAAGCTTTCAAATAGAAAATGTGTTTCTTTTTTTTTTCTAACCAAAAAACTAAGTAGGAAACAAACTGAAAATCAATTATTATCTTTTCACTGTGAATGAATTTGATTTATCAAAAATGCTTAGAAACAAAGGAAAATTAAGAAAAAAAAACAGGGCTTTGCTTTTAATCTTATTACTGAAGATTTTCTATGGCACGATTAAAAACGAAATGATAAGAAGCATTATTTATTCAAGTTTTATATTAATAATTAATTTTAGAATCTTAATCAAGTTGTTATATGGGATAAAATAATTCAACGTGGTGATAATGCACGTATTAATTTGCGTGATATTGCAACAAAATATTATTTTTGGGACGACGGAGAACATCTACGGTTAGGATTTTTTTTTTTAATTTTTGAATTGGAAAAAATTCTACTTCTCCTTTTTTTCTTCTCAAATAGATCGAATAATGTAACATTAACACTTGGTTATAATATAATACCAAATGCTGGTGGTTTACCTCATATTCGAGCAAATGGATCTACATCTTTTATTTTTCCTGATCAATATACAACGAGTCGTTTAGGAAATTCGAAAATGTCTGGCCAAGAATAGAATGCAATAATTAATTATATTTATTCTATTATGTTTGTTTTGTTTCTAAAAGTTTCTTGTCTTTTTTTTGTTAAAGTTTTTTGTTTTTCAAAATATCAAAATTATAATGTTTCAAAAGAAAAATAATCATGATAAATATATTTATTTATTTACTTGTAAAATCTAGATTTAAAAAAAAAGAAAAGAATACATGTCCACTCAAGATCAGATTGTAAGTTATATATATATAATGATATTGTTTAGTATTTCTTAGAATTTATCTTAATACTATTATAATAGTTTCGTGAATTTCTTGAAACATACAATCGTATTGTTGATGAATGTTTTCATCGATGTATTTATACATTTAACTATCGATATTTACTTGATGAAGAGGTAGGTTCTAAAGAAAATTATATTTAAATAAATTTTTTGTTTGTTCATAAAAATCACACATTCTAATAATTGGAACAAGTGATTTTGTCAAATGTATTTAGGTTGATTGTATAAATCGTTGTACATCAAAATATGTTAATTATAATCAACGAATGGCAATGAACTTTGCCGAGATACAAGCGAAAAAGCTAATTGATATGCAAGAGCAAGCTGAAGCACAATCACAACAACCACCTCAAACGATGTATGATCAAATCAATGATAATTTGAAACCTTCTTGATCAAATCTACCGCACGTTTTTTCCTTGTTCTTGTTTGCGTTAATTTGTTTTTTTTATACTCATTTGAACTTGAGTTTTTTTTTTTTTTGTTAAGAAATATATAGCTCTTTGATACACATTGTTACAAATGATTGATAATTATTTGTTTTTTATTTTTTGTGATCAATAATGACGGTCAGATTCTAGCAGAGTATATATGAAAAATGGAAAGACAATAACAAACAAAAAAAGGGAAAGGAAATAGGAAGAACTACGTACATGGAGATTAACCAAGAGTCTGAATAGGACGGTTAAATACATAAATAGACTTACAAGGAAACTACTCCAAGTGCACTCGTTGTTTGAGCTCATAATGAGTCCATAAGGAAGTCTTAGTAAGACTAGAAAAATCCTCAAAGGCTTCGTTTCCATTGACCTTCAGCGTCGAATTATGATGAGTTTACTGGATTTTCAATTCGTTTTGTACATAGCTCCCAGACATCCAATGATGGAATTTCGATCGAAAATTTTGCTCATAGATAAGTATAAAGAGTGGTAGAGTATCTTGAACGTTTAAGTCGAAAAAAATGTTTCTTCGTCGATTTATTAAATTTTCAAGTGAATTTGGTTTTTATGACAATAAACTATTTTTGAGAATTCAACATCTAGACGAAAGAACATATTCTTTTGACTGAAACTTTGAAAATATTCTAAGAGTCATTATACCTATCTATAGGCAAAATTTTAGATTGAAATTCTACCATTTTCTTATTTTTGGGAACTACCTATGAATGAATCGATAATTCAATAAATTGATCATAGCTCAGTGATAAAAACTAATAGGGGTGAATCCTTTTAGACTTTTTGTAGTCTCGCTGAAAGTTGTCTGTGGGTCTAATAGAAGATCAAAGGGCAGGTGTCACTTGATGTAGTTTCCTAGTTAGTAAACCTGAAATTAAAATATATCAAAAGAAATTTCCACAGTATTCAAATACAACATTTCATAATCAATTACTAAGGAAGATGTAAAGTTGCAACCAAGCTTTTCTAAATTCATTATTATTTATTTGCTCTAATAAGAGTTCATCATCAATTGAATCTATTACCGGAGCTAAATATCTATCCGAATACTTAAAACACTTGTCTTGTAAAGATATATTCATCACATACATTCACAAAAAAAAGTATGTGACCACTGAAGGCAATATATAACTCGTGATAGTAGAAATAGGATAGATCAACACGCTGTTTTTATATAATAAGTGGGAACAATACAAATAATCGTTTAAATAGGAACGAAAGAGTTTATTTCAATGTTGCACATATACTATTTGTTTGCTATTCGAAAAGAATTTACCCTTGCAATAATTCTCTGTTATTCTTAATCGGTTTTTTTTTTGTTGATCATTGTATATTTCAACTAGTCTTAAGGAAGTTATTCAGTATTCAACGTATTTGAACTTATTTATCTAGTTTATCAAAATGATTGGTAATTTGACAAATGCTATTTTGAATTCAAATCATCTTTCATATTTTCATATGATTAATTAGTTAGTCTAATATTTATATGAATGACAAAAAAAAATGTTTATTACAAATTGATTTCTGTCATTATAATTGAATTTTCTTATTGTAAATAATGTTGACATCATCAAAATATATTTGCTGTATTTCTTTTTTTTTTTGTAAACTATAATGATTGATATATGTAACCTTCGTATATTTAATTGATTTCTTCTTTTTGATTGATATCTTGTTGATATTTTAATTAAACAAAAATTTCGATTTATTTCTAATCAATGATATTGAGCATGCTTGTCACGCAAATTTCATTACGAATTTCAAAAAAAAAAAAAGAAATTATGATGAGATGTGCATAAATAAGAATATGCTACATTCGAATTATCATGCATCAATTTTAACTACGATGAAAAGTTAAAATCATTAAATATACACTTGTAAAATATATATATATTTCGAAAAAAAAAATCGAATACATTTATTTAAACAGATACTACATTCATTATGAACAGGAAACGAAACAACTCATTAATTATTGTTGTCTCAAGCTTATGTTATTCACCTACGGCTTTTATTTACAGCTAATCACTCTCAATCCTTCATGTTTTGTTTTCTTTGTACATTGAAATAAGAAAAAGACATAGGAAAAGAAAAGAAAAGAAACTATTCATCATAATTGTTTGGCAAGTATAGCATCAACAAATGTCCATGAATCTTTTTGTCCTTCAAGTATTGTCAATGAAAGATAATTGATTTTTTGTGCTATTTGTGTTAATTCATTAGGTCTTGGTTGTGCACCAATTAATTGTCTTGTTAAAGTTTCTAATGATGGTGCATGACCAATAAATAATATTGTCATTTCATTTATATCATGTTTTGATAAAATTTGACGCACTATTTTATATGATCGTTCATAATAATCATATTCATTTTCATCTGTTGATAAAGTTTTTTGTATACTATTATATGATGTTTCAATATTTAAACGATTAAGAACAAGTTCATTGATTGACATAAAATGTGGTATAACACCTTTATGCCATAGACCACATTCAAATAAACCTAATTCAATACGTATTGGTACTAATGTACGTAATTTCATTCCATCAAGAATAGCATCTGCTGTTTGAATACAACGTAATGATGGCGATGAATAACAATAATCAATACGAAGACCTGTACGATAAAGTGCTTCACCTATCATGAAATGAAATAAAATAAATAATAATTTAAAAAAACAAAGAATAATATGAAACCTGTTCTAAATGAACGTATTAAACCAAGTTCAGTTAATGGTGGATCATATCGATAATCTTGAAAATTTTGTCTATATGGTAAACTAATTGGTAAATTTGTATGAAAACGTCGATAATTTCCTGTTTCATCAAATGCTTGTTGAAACCAATTATCACCAAATAAAGCATCAACACGTTCTCCATGACGTAAGATAATTAATTTTGTTTTTGCCCGTCGTTTTTGTCGAACATGTTGTTGTTGTTGTGAGCAAGAATTTTCATAAGTATTATTATTATTATTATTATTATTATTATTAACTAAAGATTTTGTTTCAAAATTATATTCTTGTTTTGGTGATATTGATATAAGTTTATCTATATTATTCATTGATAATTGGTGATCATAATCATTAATACCACATGATAAACAAGATGTACCTTTAAATACTTCAAATGAACGTTGTCGACGTGTATTAATTACTTTTGATAATGATCGACTACGTTGAAATGTTGATAGATTGGAATTATTTGAACTTTTAGAATTTATATTAGGATCATAAGATCCTTCAAATTGACCAATAAAACGATTAAGTAATTTTTGAAATGTGGACATACTAAAATAGAAAAGAAGACATGAATATTAAAAACATATGTTTCTATAAATTCTTTTCTTTTTTTTTTTAATTTTTAATATCTATTTAATGTAGTTTTCTTTTTATTTTAACTGTGTCAATTTTGAACTATAATTTATTTTAGGTCAAGTATGAGATATAGTCATTTAGTGAATGATTGTTATAATGTACTTACCTAGACCTTTTTGTCTTTGTTATAATAAAAGCACAATTAATTTGATTTTTTTTTTCTCTATTGAATGATAAGTGTTAAAAATTGAAATTAATGTATTTATTGCAGACGTCTAAATATATTTATCTATCCTCGTCTTTTACTATTCAAATAAATTGATCATGCTTTATATGTGAGTATAAAAGGAAATAAATGACCATCAGATCATACATGTATAAATAGAACAAACTTGAACAAGCAAAACTCGTGATAGAAAAAAGAAGAAAAAGGCGATGACGAATCTCTTCTCCTCCTCTACTTTCTTCTCTCTTTCAATAATTGTCTTGATCGATGATAGATATACACATATATATATATATCTTCGACGTTGTTCAGAGCACGAAAAGGAGGACAAATACAAACAGGTTGATGTGATCTTGGACAGACGATAAAAATATATATGATCTCTCGTTCTTTTTCTTTATTCGTTTAATCAAAGAAATAAATCATTAGATATTGTATAGAATTGCAATGACATTGCCGCTCAATTGAAGTTTTAATGAAGCGAATACGAACATTGTTCATATTACTAAAATTTGATAAGATAAGATCTGAAAAAAAAAAAGAATAATCGATTTATAGAACGATTAATACATATGTATAAATGAGCAATTTAGTGAATGAATGAATGAATGAATTTAAGGGGGAACCCCCCCTTCGAAAGTCGATTTTTCCTTGAAAAAGTCGATTTTTGGAAAAACACATCTTCTTGTAGCCCCAAGTGTCCTCTTTCAGAATATGTATAAACTATATAGGAATGGAACAT